CGCCCGACCGCGCGGGAGCCGGGAGCCGGCCTCAGGTCGGGAGGCAGCCGGCTGCCCGCGCCCTTCATGCCGGCCGCCGCTCCCCGCACGTACGCCGCGCGCCTCCCCTCGCCTGGATCCCACCTGTGGGACTCGACCCGCCCTCCTCCTAGTCCTGAGCGGCTGGAGAGGGGCCCACGACCGGATCCTGGCGCCAGTGCTGTCGGGGGGAGCGTCCCCGAATGCTGGCGGGCTCCCCCGGCCTCAGTCTATGCGCATTTCCTAGGTGGTCCTGCTGGGTACACAGGCTCCAACTGCCTCCTCCCCACCATCACTACCATCAGGTTACAGCGGACTGGGGTCACCCTGGCCAGGATTCAGGGTATCAGACCAGTGGAGAAGGCCCTGAAGAAGACTAGGGACCTGGGCTCCACCCCCAGGGCCAAGATCCCAAAGGGATTCAGACTGTCCCTGGCTCCTGGGTCAGGCATTCGGCCTGGTGATGTATGTGTGGGTGATAGATTGATGAGAAGGGAGCCTATCAACGCCTGGCGGGGGGCGGGGGCGGGGGGGGCGGGGTTGGAGGTGGGTGGCACATTGGGGCCAAGGCTTGCTTTGCCCAAACCCTTCTATACAACACAGGCCAAAAACAGTGGACAACTCATTCAGCCAGTCCAGTCTGGGAGGATGCAGGAGACCTCAGCCTGAGCTAGAGGAGGCACTGGCCGCAGATCAGGTTCCCACGCCTGCTCTGTTCTGTGAACCTTCCTAGTCATGAATGAGGGGAAACACGTCTGAGAATCTCATCAGAGAGCTAGCCCAGAGTGGGAGGTGCCCAGCCTCCGCCCAAGCGGTGTGGGGATATTCCCTATGGCACACTGTCCAGGCTGGCAGCCCAGACCTGCGGAAGGCACGAGCACAAACACAGAAATACAACACACATAAAATAGAAACGAGCCACTGTTCCGGCCTGTGTCAGCAACCAACCAAAACTCTACTAAAACCAAACAGAAAACCTTCCTGCATCTGCTACATCCTGTTATGCCACAGGAGCCTCCCTCTGCCCAGATCCTCCCATCCTCTCTCCCTTCTCAAGAGCTTGCCCTGTGGATCATCCTTTCTCTTTCCTGAATGTTCAACCTCCCTTTCTCAACTGGATCCTTCCCTTGAACTACAGTAGTCTCCCTTATCCGAGGTTTTGCTTTCTGAGGTTTCTGTTACTTGCGGTCAACCACGGTCCGAAAATATTAAATGGAAAATTCCAGAAATAAAACAATTCATAAGTTTTAAATTGTGCACCATTCTGAGTAGCATGAATGAAATCTCTCGCTGTCCGGCTCCATCCCACCACGGAAGTATATCATCCCTTTGTCTAGTGTATCCACACTCTATCGGCTACCTGCCCATTAGTACAACCCATTAGTCACTTAGTAGCCATCTCAGTTATCAGATGGACTGTAGAAGTATCATAGTGCTTGTGTTCAAGTAACCCTTATTTTACTTAATAATGGCCTCAAAACGTAAGAGTAGTGATGCTGGCAATTCGCATATGCCAAAGAGAAGCCATAAAGTGCTTCCTTTAAGTGAGAAGGTGAAAGTTTTCACTTAATAAGGAAAGAAAAAAAAAGAATGTATGCTGAGATTGCTAAGATTTATGGTAACTTTAATTACAGTATATTGTTATAATTGTTCTTTTATTATTAGTTATTGTTAATTTCTACTGTGCCTAATTTATAAATTAAACTTTATCATATGTATATACGTATAGGAAAAAAGCATATATGTAGTATATATGGGGTTCAGTATTATCCGAGATTTCAGACATCCACTGGGGGTCTTGCAAGGTATCCTCTTGCGAAGGGGGGACTACTATATAAATATGTTCTAGCCTCTACTATGGAAACAAAACCTCCTTCGACCCCACCAACAACTGCAGTGTATCTCTCCTGCTCAACCACAGCAAAATTCCCTGAAAGAGGTGTCTGTCTCCTTGTCCTCATCTCCCTCCCACCACTCAGGCCCCTGCAGTGGGCCTTCTGGCCCCCTCACAACACCAAACTAGATCTCAGTAAACTCTCCATAACCTCCAAGCCTCACTTTAACAGCCACTCTTCAGTCCTCGTCTGCCGAAGGCCCCAGCAGCGGTTGACACCCCAGCATCGTGTGACCACTGCCTCGCTGGAACACTCATTTCTCTTGGTTTCCACCATTCTCTCTGGCCACCTCTGCCCAGGCCCCTGCGGCACATCTTCCTCTCTCCCTCTCCATATAACTCAGTAAAGGTAGGGATTTCCTCAAAGCAGGCCTACGCGCTTTACTTTCCTCTTCTCTTTCTATAATTTCTTCCTATACACAGATGACTCACAAATTTCTCTGTCTACTCTGCCCTGACTCTGGGCTCCAGACTCACATAACTGACTGCTGAGTCTACATCTCCACTTGAGTGTCCGCAAGCACCTCAATCACAACATATCCAACACTGAGTTCATGCTCCCTCTGCTGCCCACCTCCACACCTCCCTTACTCCCAGCTTCATTGAAGGAGCCACCCCCCATCAGTTATCTAACCAGAAGTCTAGGAACCATACCTCCCTCTGCCTCACCCTCAGACCCTATCCTTCCATGTCCCACGTCCGTTTAATTCTACTACCTAAATATCTCTAATCCATCTGTTTCTCTCCATCCTCTTGCACTTGAATGATTACAACAGTTTCCCCGCTGGCTGCCCTCCTCTGTTCTTGTTCCCTCCCATCTCTCCTCCACGCTGCAGCCACAGGGATCTCCTCAAAAATGCAGATCTGAACCCATCGCTCTCAGCTTAGTAAAGTGCATTGTTCTTAGGAAAAATCCTAAAAATAGTCTGTAATGCCCCACATGGTTTGGCCCCTGCTCACTTCTCCAGCCACACTAATCTTCCTCCAGTCCCTCTCACTGGCCATTCTCCCTCCCCGCCCCACTCCTAGGCCTTTGCACATGCTGTTCTTTCTGTCTAGAAAATTTTCTCTCCTCCCAATTAAATCCTTCAGATCCCCTCAGAAGGATTTTCCTCACTTCCCTGACCAGGTCAAAACCTACCATAACAGCCTCTTATGACCTACGTGCTTTGTAACACGTGCCACAGTTGATATACAGTCATGCGCTGCATAACAATGTTTTGGTCAATGATGGACCGCATATATGACAGTGGTTCCATAAGATTAGCACCATAAAGCCTAGGTGTGTAGTAGGTTAAACCATCTAGATTTGTGTAAGTACACTCTATGATGTTTGCACAGTGACAAAATCGCCTTCTCAGAATGTATCCTTGTCATTAAGTGACACATGCCTGTAGTTGAATGATTGTTTGATTAATGTCTGTCCCCCCACTGGCTTGGGAATTCCGGGAGTACATAAACTATGTGTGTTTTTGTCCATCATCATATCTTCAGCACCTACCACAGAACTGGGTTTAATAAGTATCTGCTGACTACATGAAGGGATGGGTGTCTCCCTAATGTCTTGCTCCACACAGCAGTAGCCAAAGGTCTGACTAAGGCTTCCACAGAGCCTCAGAGTCCTGGACCCCACTCATTCCTCAGGGTCTGCATCTTCTCCTCTTCTGTCTCTTATAAAGATTCTTGTCATTGGATTTAGAGCCCACCAGGGTAATCAAGATGACTCATCTCATGATCTTTAACTCAATTATATCTGCAAAGTCTTTTTTTCCAAATAAGGTCACATTCACAGGGTCCAGGTATTAGAACATGGATGTTTCTTTTTAGGGGCCACCATTCAACCCACTATACCTGACATTCCTTCATGCACTCCAGGAGATACTGGGCCCATGTAAATCCATGACTCTCTGTTCTGAATCTCCAACCCAGACCCACTGCAGACCTACATAGCCTTTTCTTTGTGGCCACTTGATAGTTGAACTCATTATCTCCCCATACCCTACCCCACACCACCCAAACTGCTTCTGCTCCAGCGTTTCCCATATCTCAAGAAGTGAAATCAACATCTCTCAGTTATTTCCATTTGCTTCCCCACCACATTCCCCCATTGTGTATCTTACCTGGTGGATCTCTCAATCCATTTACTGCTCTGCATTCCTACACTCACAGCCCAGATTCAGGACACCACTATCTCTCACCTGGACAATCCATCCTTGCCCACACCTTCCACTCAGCTCTCTCTATCCTTACTCCACTCCACAGGCAGAGTGCTATTTTAACAATGATTCTGATCATGTGATTTCCATATATAGAACCCCTCAAACTTGTCCCTGTCCCAAGGATAGACACAGATCTCACCAATGCTACCAATCCCCTTTATCCAGCCCTGATGGCATC